CATCTTGCGACTCAACAAACAACGAAGAACACTGTAGAAACACTTGTCGTTGGTCAACGCTGAGCGCCGTACACCTTTGTGTGGGGCCAGCGCTCAATGCCGGGTTTCTTTTGTAGTGTCACACTGCCCTCTGTAGGGATGCAAACTCAGTGCGCTGGATTCGTCCTCAACACAGACGTGTGGATTTCAGTGACACGACCGAACGCTTCACAACACTCTGCTGATCCTGATTTCCAACATTTCGCCGAGGAGCTTTTCAGCAACATTTTCCTTCGTTAACTTCTGCTCTGATTTCAGTGACAGACGCAGATGTTGCACTGCGTATGTGTACATACACAGACTGTATGTGACTCACAAGGGGAATATGTCTAGAAAACACACACACACACACACCTCCAACCTGGCAGAGCGTTTGTGCTTGTAAACACTTGAATAATTGAGCCAGATTCAAACACACCGCCTCTCCAAAAGGAGCCATGGAGGAAGACGGGTGGGGGGGCGGGGGGGAGAGCAGATGGCCCAGTGCAGATAGACCCAGAGACTGGGAGCGAGGAGTGTTCTCTGAAGGACGAGGTTTGTGTTGTTGTGGCTGCAAGGGCCGCTCTGTCACACGGCGTACCGAGGGTCCCCCAAGGGCCCGGGTCTTATGGTGTCAGTGCCCCCCCCCCAACCCCCCTCGCCCCCCCCAGTCCTCATCCCCAGTGCCGGCCTATTGTCATTCCTGTTTTTTAATTTCTCAAACGCAATCAAGTGTGACATGAACTGTTTACCTAGCGTGTCTGCCACAACCAAGAAGTGAAAAAGAGGCTGGGGGTGTGGGAGGGTTGGGGGGGGGGGGGCACACACACCAAACAAGATCTCGCGACAAAATAATCCCCCATAATACCAGAGAGTTTAAAGAGGCTTTGCCAATGCCCCCCTCCTCCCCCCTCTCCCTTACACACACACACACACACACTCATACACACCTCCTTTTGCTCTTATGAAAAAAGGAGGGGGAGAAAAAGGGGGGGAAAATGGGAGGGGCGGTGAAGACATCAGAAGAAAGCTGTTAAATTCGCCCCTCAGTCTCGTTTGGGATTGCTAATTATTGTTTTTACAGTACAACAATCGGGGTATTAGTGCATAAGCGGCTGGAGATAACATCCAGGAGGTGGCGAGGGGGCTGAAAGGGGAGAAAGGGTGTGGGGGAGAAAGATAATGGTTCGACAGAAGGGGAGCTATGATAGGGTCGGGTCCATGGCGCCGTCTCTGCTGCCTCTGCAACAACACACCACAGTATCAGGAGACTCACTGCCGCCTCCAAGGAGCCTGAAAAGTGAAGGAAACTTGAGGGGGGAAAGTTTCAAATGTTGGACAGTTTGTGGGTTGGAAAAAAACTAGAGAGAGTCAAGTGAAGGAGAACGGATCCACAACAGAACACTTCTCTTTACTGGGGGAGGAAACAGACACAATATCGTGTCAAAATCGCAAAAAGGCTCAACACCTTAACCAGGCGCTTAACCAAGCAGTTAACCAGGCGCTTAACCAAGCAGTTAACCAGGCGCTTATCCAGGCAGTTAATCAGGCGCTTAACTAGGCTCAACTGGCAGGTTGATCCGTCCTCTTCCTCAACTTTCTTCATGTTTCACAAATTAAAATGACTTATTTATTAAATAATTTCCCTTCATCCCAATGCCAGATTGTATTGCCAATCATAGGGCCGGGCAGACAAACTGTTATTGCAGTAATAAACTCAAATTCTTTTTCAGAGACTGTATGAGTCTCTTACTATTACGCAGCCATCCGGATTTATGGAAACATCAATCATTAAAACCATGTTTTGTCTGGTTAAAAGCAATTGTGAGAGGTTTTAACACACTTGTTTTGCTGTGACGAGCCTTTGGTTGTTACAATACACGTGCGTGTCGTCAGCATGGCAATGCGATGCACGCTTTTGTTTTCTTAGGATGTGGCAGATCGGTGCCCTAAAGGACTAAAGTGCTTAAAATTCTGATCCATGTGTAACTCTGTATTTGACCTTTGAACATAGAGACACAGTATTCTGTCACTCAGTTTTGACTTTAGCAGCAAGATTTGGTTTATGTAACATATTTCATTTTGTTTCGGTGAAGATGAAGGACTAACATATTATGAGTACTAAAAGGCAGGTGATGGCTTGAGCCCCAGGGGCGAGAATAGAGCATCGTGGAAAACACACACACACACACACACACATTGGCTTTTATCCGGGGAATGAGCAGGCCAGCCAAAGTCATCTGGAAGCTTCCACATGCCAATGAATAAATAAAGGTCTAATTAGAGAAGAAAACAGCGCTACCTGTTGGTGTCCAACCTTTGTGAACTAAGACCATCACAGCGTGCGATGGGAAGCACCTGAGCCTGCTGAGGCTTTACGTTAAAGAGCTGGCATGGCTCTCACACACAATGTGTGTGTGTCAATGTGTTAGAGACAACCTTTTTGAGATATGGGCCACCCGTGTAACCGTGTGTGTTGTCTGCCTTTCATTTGTAAAGAGGCTTTCTGACCATATGTGTTGGTATCGTGTGTGTGTGTGTGTGCTCCTCTGTGTGTACGCGACGGGGTCCAACTGCGTGTCCTGGGGCCCACCTGGCAGCGCTGTGCAGATTCCCGGGCCAGAGCAGCTGGCCTGGGGGCTGGTGAGGGTGTTTGGTGGGGGTCGCTTTAAGAGGCGTACGGGGGTCTTCTAAGGCCCCCGTCCCACTGGACCCAGACAGTGGGAGGCAGATGGACAGGCCACTGCCAGAGGGCCACTGAGCCAGAGGGGCCACGGGGCCACGGGGCCACAGGGCCGAGGGAGAGGGCCAACCGAGCTCACTTACACACAAGAAAACCCACAATAAAAAATAAATGGAACACCTGTGGACTAAAGGTCTTGTTAGAAACATTTTACGTAGACGTATTAATTGGGTGTTTTCTATAATATTGTAAAATTTCAATTTCATTTCACTGTGTCCTTTCAGTCTCTGAAAATTACTTCATTTGCAAATAAACTGCTGCAGGGTGGGAAGGCGCTGGAAGCCGTTCCTAGCTGACGTGCTTGTGGTCGGTGGAATGGAACCCGGTGCAGCCGCTCATGGCCCTCAGAGGACGGAGCAAAATCAGGTTGGTGATCTCGGACATTTCATTCATTGCCATCGTAGGATCAAAATCCCCGGTGGTTAAACAGTTTACCCGTCAACAGGTCAGCATTGTCGACATGTCAGCACGTTTAGAAACGAGCTTCGGAGCGGACGGACGGGATCGCTGGAAGACAGAATGGAAAACACTTCATTGATATGCAAGACTGCACCGTATGACACCCAGAGGCTCCTGAACACACATCGACCAACCAGGAAGCCTCTTTCATAACCTTCCAGTTGAGAATGCAAAGGAAGAAAGGTGTTTCTTGATAGCAATGTCCAGGAACACCGCCATGCGGGAGGGCTGCTTTTGAGGAACTGATGAATGTGCTACGAGTGTAGGATTGATACAGAGCTTATTGTGAACACACACTATAGGTGGTGGTGGTGGTGGTGTGGGAAGTAGCCACCGGCTCCAATAGTCCAGAGAGCCACAGATGCTCCACTGTTTGTGTGTTGACTCTCTGTAATTTGTTTGCTCTAATTTGTTTTGCCGTGCCAGGGGACTTCCGATTTTAATTTTGCTCTGTGTGTGTTTACCCCTCTTTGTGGATCGCTGATCTGTTAAGCATAGAGAGAGAGAGAGGGAGGAAGAGAGGGAGAGAGAGAGAGAGAGGGAGAGAGGGAGAGACAGTCGGTGTGGAGGGTGAATTGTTCAGAGAGCCAAATTAAAAAAAGGAGCAGTGCAGATTGTTTTAAGCTCTGGCAGCCCCTTCAGGCCCACAGGCCTCGCTCGCAGCCGGCACCTGCTCCATCCCCCGGGAGCCGGGTTCCTGATCCGTGGCCCTCGCTTCTCCTCCCCGGGCTCCCAGCCCAGTCTTCTCCTTCGCCTCCGCTTATTCATTTCCTACTTGTATTTTCCTTGACTTCTTTTTCTCCTCCCCATCAACTTCTGTCCTTTTCCTTCGCGGCCTCCATCCTCCTCCTAAACTTAAACTCTCCTTTCCATAAACCCTCCAGATGCTCCTGTCCCTTTCCCCCGGTGACTCGCTTCTACTCCTTCCTGCCTCAGTGATGGCCTCTTCACCCCCTTTTTCCTTTCCACCACCTGCTCCTCCCCTCCTCTTTATCTTCTCTTCAATTGTTGTGCTTTTTCTTTTCTTTCCGCTCAACTTCCTCCTATCGCTATTTCTTTCTGACATTTTCTCGTCCAGTGTGGACTCCTTGTTGCTCCTCCACATCTCGCCTCGAGCAACTGGAAGAGTCTTAATCAGCCCCCCCCTCTTCGCCTGAATGCAACCCCACATATCCAAATAAAATATAGCTAGAGATATGACAATGTAACTATTACAGTGTGATATGACATGAACACCTTTTTTATCAACCCCATAAGGATGCAAACGACAGCCTGTTTAAAATTGTCACAGCTATTCTTTATTGAAACCAACCGGTCGCTCCAGTATATGACTGCACGGACGAAAGTAGTTCGATCAGTCAGTCGGCTCTACATACAGCATGGTACACGTTGTCACACACACACAACATTAGCATTACCCGGGGAGTAATGCTTTGATAACGAGACATTTAGTTTTAATATGGCTTGATTGAAGCAGTCCAACGGTGTGTGATGCCCCGGCTGGATGTGTCGATCCAGACCAGCGGCGGGTGGGGATATGAACCGCGGGGGGCCGAGGGGGGGGGGGGGGGGGGCTTCTCCCGGGGGCCAAAAATAAAATCTGAACTCCTTGTAACAGCTCACCCATTCCGGCCGGGGGGCCCATTTAAAGGGCACCTTCACCCTTACCCCCCCGGGACCCAAATGGCACCTAACCCTGGAGAAGGGCTTATTTTTGAAGTGACAGGGCAAATTTGGCGCGAACGGGTACCATTAGCAGAACCCGAGACAGCACTAGCCCTCGTTTCCTGTGTAAAGTGCCAAAATTCACTCTGCCTTTTCGCTCTCCGCAAATCCCCAAAAAGGGAAATATCTGCCTCCTACTCGGCTAAATGCTGCACCGTGGTCACCAACTATCTCTAACTTGATCTGCTGCTGATTCACACAGAGCAGCGGCTGCACAGCGCTGTTTAAAGCTTTGTTGCAGAAAACAAATGCTTACCGGCTTCTAAAATTAAGCACACGAGCGCATTGAGAGCGAAGCCAAACAAGAAACCACAACAGCAGACCGTTTGGAGAATTTGCAGCGTCGGGGGAAAATGCTCTGTGGTTATTACTAGCGACCCCTTTTACATTGATCCTTGTTAAAATAAAACTACTGACTATAGCAGCTCAAAGTAAACGTCCACAGGTGTCCACAGAGCTCGCTGTCACTTTTTATTCTACATTCAAACAACTGCTTGAATAAGGGGAAACGCATGAAGGATTTGACACCATGGATGGAAAATCACGGATGAAGAATGTTTAAAAACCTGTTATTGCCGTTTTTTATTTGTGGTCAACTCTGCCAGAAAGATGACAAGCTCAAATCTATTGTCTATTGTCCTTCATTGTATCAACACCTTTGAAAACCTGGAGGAATAAAACCCAAACCATCTGCATGGTTCAATAAGACCAAATCTAAATAGTTTTTTTGTTACTTGAGTGAGCCGACCCAAATCACATCTACTCTATATGCACCACAGTCTTATCATAGAAATCATATTGCCATTACGAGCGCTTGCAGCAAGCTTAATGCGCCGGACCAAAGCGAACAATACAGACACATCTTGGTCCATTCTTGTACCCGAGGTTTCTAAACTCGCCGTATTCCATTCTGCCGGTTTGGTATTCTGACTGTCTCTCCATCACCTGCTTCACCGAGGACATTCACGTCCTCGCAGCACAATCATGATCAGAACGCTCAGCTTCACACATCCAAGTGTCCCATTCATTTGGCCGACTCTGTTCTTCACCTCCACAGCAGATTAAAACAAGGTGAAAATAAATTTCCACTAGTGCAAAAATAAGATCTCTCTTTGAGAGCAGTAAGAAAAGAAATATTAACAAAAAATATATATATATATATATATATATACATTTGACACATAAGGTAGAAAGAATAATAAAGTGGCACTGATAACAAATTATATCACAATTAAAAACTGTTGCAGACTATTTTCACACCATTTTAGTGAGTAAGAACTAAGGCTGAGTGGTTGCTGACAAACTGGTTACCTTTTGATCGGGAACCACAACATTAAAGTTTGGGGCTGTAGGAGAAAATGATTGCTGTGTTAAATGTGCTGCAGGTCCTCGAGGTGGAATGACCTTGATATTTCAAAACAAAGAAGGCATTGAACTGACTGCTGACTCCATCTGGTGGTCAAATATACAAAGTGCAGCACTTTACCCAAATCAAAAAGCACCAACTTATCCAATAACAAAGTGCCAGCAAATCACCATTAAGAAGAGAGGAGTAAGGAGTATAAGTGGTAAGTGCAACACGCACAAATCTGCCCCTCTGACTTCTATTTCCTAGGACTAGGAGTGCATCTATGGACACACACACACGTCCTGTTTTGATGCAGATTCTTCCCACACACAGCAGCATAAAGGAAATAACGGGAGGATCTGTCCCGACTAAAGAATGAACTGGCGCCCGGCGTCCTCCGAGTTCCCTCTCCAGCACGCGCACGGTTAACAGCCGAGACTCGGCAGCTGTCCCTTTCAGCCACATGATCGATCTCCACCTGTTCCCGCGGGGTTTGTGCGTTAAGACACGTGTCGGAGTGGTGATTAGTTGCATCGTTTCGTAGGCAAGTGCAGTGCCACCTTCCGCGTGTTTTGCACCACTCCTCCGTCGTCGCCGCGCTTTCCCACCAGACGTATTCCCCGCGTTCGCCTTTCACGCCGGCTTCTGCATCCCAGGACGAGACGAATAAGGCAAAGAGAAGCTGCCACGGGAGTGAGGCAGACCACACGCACTGGCACGTGTCTTTTAGAGGCTCAGTTTGTTTGCTCTGCGTGTCCATCGGGAGGGTTTATTGTTGTGGCTGCTGGAGGTGCCGGAACAGTTACTTTCGGCTGTGAGCGCTGCTCTCTGGCGACTCGATTCTCCCAGCCGGCCCGACGCAGTTCTCTCTCCTCCCGTCGGTCTCGACCCCGTCAGCAGATTGCGACGGCCCTCCGGGTCAAACCTCCAGGTCGGGAATCTGCTCGTCCTTGAGCTGCACGTCGTTGTCGGAGCCCGTGCCCACGTCCGAGTCAAAGAGCGACTGGTCAGAGTCGGGGGAGTGCGCACGTGCCTGCGTGTGTCCGGCTGAGTGGATGCTGGCGTCGCTGTCGTCCAGAGTGTCGGTCCGGGAGAAGAGGCCTGTGGGGGAGACGCCGCCGCCGCTGCTGCTGCACTCACTGTCTCCGTCGTAGTAGAGATCCTCCACCTCCACGAACCACTCAGGCCAGAACCTCCTCCGCATCCGGTCGCAGAACATGGCCAGGTTGATGAGCTCCCCTGCAAAGACATCACAGCAGGTTTCACATTCACTGACAACATGAGTCTGATACAAACTTAATTCTTTTTCGTCAGAAAGTACGAATCAAAACAACAACAGAGAACCTTCATTTGTGAAATTACAAGCGCAGATTTTGCTATCTGGAAAGATATGAGTCTCAAGTGTGTCCTTCTCTGTGCAAGAGGTGAGAGCAACAATGAGCGGCTGTGTCACCAGCACTGCATTGCAGTGAAATGTGACTGCCATCTAGTGGTGGGAACAGAGAATACATCGAGGACAAACTAGACCACGATGTAAACTGTGCGTGTAGACATTGTGAGTCCTTCACTGATCCACTGACCTTTGATGAGTTGCTCTGGTCGGGTCCCAGGCAGCGTCCACATAGCTTGGGCTAGATGCCCAAACACAGTAGCATCTAATGTCGATATTTTAGAGCCCATAAAGTACTTCTTGTCTCCTACAGAACAAAGAGTATCCACATTATTGAAAGTCAAATGCACAGAAAGAGGTTTTGTAACAAGCATGGAAATAAACAAGCTAATGTTGGTTACTTTGCAATAATAACCCTTGATAGTTGTGTATCCATCAAGTTTACGCGTTCATTTTAATTACTTATCAATACTTTTAATTTGACAATGAATGATGATTCTTTGGTTGATGCTATTTGGTGTTAGTTTGAAGTTGGTTGTACTTGTTGTATTTGTGTTTTCGTGTGTTGTTCGTGTAAAAAAAGGGTAAAAAATAATATTAATAATAGCAAACTATTTCAACAGTTAATCCAGTAATTGTGGCCTTTGAATTAAATAGGCTGCAATACACTTATACACTTAATACACATATTTCCACTATGAGCTGGCAGACAAGAGCTTTTCGACTCACACTTCTGGTGCTCGAGTCTGTAAAACATTGCCTGAGAAGATGAGTGCTTCATCTCTCAGAAAATCTGTTTTCCGTTTTACAACAAAGGGTCGTTTATTGAAATGGGACAAACAGATCAATGCAAATCGCTTTTCTTTCCACTCTTTGTTTCCATCTGAAGGGTGATATTATGTCTCTGTGGCTGGCATCCTGGTCTTCTCTTTCATACCTCACTAAGTGCAAACACAAAGGCAGACTCAGATGTATTTGGTTTTCACCCACACAAATAATCTGTGTTATATTTTTCTGCGAGGAAACAAAATACACGCTCCTTAAATCCAGGACAGATATTTAGTGTTTTGTTATAAAACATGCCCCGAATATATCTTTATTCTGAAATAATTGGCCAGGCTCCATTAGTCATCATTACTAATGCTTCATTAGGCCACATTCCCAACAAACCAAAGACATTTTAGAGTATTCCCATCTTTTAGAAACAGAATGTATACTGTAATATCTGTCTAAATATCTAAAATCTGGGTACTTTGAAGTGAGATTATACAACAGAGGTTTGGCTAATCCCTGCTCATACATCGGATGAGGTAAAAACATTCTAATGGCAAATGTTTGGAGGCATATACGCAACGTGTATCCAGTCGCACACTCGCAGCGCTTCACCCACCCAACAGTGTGGCCAGCGTCCTCAGGTCCTTCTCCATCAGCGCGTAGACCTCCTCCTTAGAGAAGCGGCCGATGCCGTGGCCGTACATCTCCCTGCGCACCATGCTGCCGTTCAGGCGGCTCAGCAGCCACTTCAGCGTGTCGCTCAGGGGGCCGCTCATCGCCAGGAGCTTCTGAGTTTCCTCCAGGTTGTCCACCCACTGACAGTAGGCGATCGTCCTGAAACACAAAAGGGTGTTCAGTGTTCGCTTTGTTTGAGTAAAGCAACTCTTGAAAGCATTTTAAAAAGGCAAGCCTGGGCAGCTACATAAGCCATGAGATCTGTCTCACAGCAGTAGACAGATCATGTCTCTATGTGCAAACAAGCCTCTAAGTCTCTTACTTCTTATCGACATCTCCTCTTTTGTGACCGCAGATTTAATGAAGTAAGCCAATAAGAGACGGACGTTTTTACCCGCAGTTGGCTAGTTAATACACTAAATGCCCCGTGTAAGGCTTTCTGATATTTAGCACAACCCATGTGGACTCTGCTCTCTGTTGATTCTTTTCCCAGCCAAGCTGCTTAAACACTAACAAGATTAAGCTGCTATATCCTTGCACACTTGCCCTTTCTCGCACCATCTCATTGGAGAATACGGACCGAGCTTCTCTCACAGCTCGTCTGACAGCCTGGAAGCCTCATGCCATAGTTGTCCTGGTCTGCGGTCTTCTGGATCACTCTAGAGTAGTCGCTCGATGGAAATCGAATTAAAGCATCTGACCCACATCGCATCTGGAGGGGTGAGTGTCCAGAGTGGCTTAATTACCACTAGCTGCTGTCCAAAGAGAACAAACAGCCCTTTGTTTCAAGATTTTTAAAACCCCGTCTCAGTAGGTTAAAACATCACAACAATATTTAGCCTTTATTTTGGGGGGGAAGGAAATATTTTTGGTGGATTTATTACTTAACAGCTGCCTCATAAACCACGAGAGAACACAGTCTATGGCTCTTAAAAATGCAAGACAATAATTACATTACAGATTTTTGGAAATATAGTTGTCTGTCTTAACTACAATCTCTCACAAACAAATACGTTAGAGAGTAAGTGAAAGCTTACTGGCAGATAAATCATCAACCACAGTGGCCACAGTTTCCTGTTATCTGTCATAGCAGCATCGACCACAAAGTGGGAAACGTTGTGTATGAGCTCACCACCAACCACTGACGCTGGCCAGCTGCTCTGTAGCCCTTCAATTAGCAAGGCAGACCCCCCCGGTGCCCTTCCCTGACATAAATAATTCAACCAATAGGTCTATATGTGGGTCTATTCATGGCAAAGGGCGAGAAAAGACAGCAAACCGGAGACGCAGGTAGATGTCGGTTACATGCATGACCTTTGAAAATCTTAAAGAAATGTCATGGAATTCCATTTTTTCAGCACACAAAAGGTGCAATGCTATAAATGATCCCCGATTACAACACGCTGAACTGTGTTACACATGTTACATCCTCATTTACACTCGGTTTTTGCAAATGAGACCCTTAAATGGTATGAATAAGATCCGCCGATTCCGTTCAAAATGTACCGTGATATTATTAAATAAAGGTGAATAGGGCACATCACTGTGGATCAAACAGTGTGTGTGTGTGTGTGTGTGTGTGTGTGTGTGTGTGTGTGTGTGTGTGTGTGTGTGTGTGTGGGTGTGTGTGTGTGTGTGTTAGGGATGGGGAGGGCAGTGAACAATGGATAGCACTTTTAGCTAATGGAAAACCCTCTGAGCCCCTGTGGAGGCCGTGTGAGGAATGCTAAACAATTTCCTAGCAGCAGCTTGTTGGTCACCCAGAGGTCCTGCAGTGACTCACCACAGCAAAGGATGGCTGATACCACCGTGCTGGTGGTGAGGAGAGCGTCTCTCTGGCCGCCTCCGTCCTCGACACAAAAGGTGCATCGAGTTACAGAAAAGTCTGATGTATTCTGACTAAACGTTGCTTCATAGTTTTGATCCACCAGAGCGATCATGACTTTAGTTTCTTCCCGGTTCCCATAGACACAGTTGTGACTAGTACGACACAATGCACTCTCTCCGTACGAGCTCCCTACCAGTACAGGTGTTCCTCGACCATTTTGGTGATGGCTCGGGACACGGCTCTCTCCTGCGGGGTGAGGTTATTGTTGAGGTTGACGCCCAGCTTCTCCTCCAGGAAGTCCACGATGAACTCTGACCCTGACGCCTGCTCGTGGTTGTACTCGATCCAGGGCATCTTACCCTGCGGCGACAGCTTTCCATCAAAGTAGTTCTGCAGAGAGAAACGATATGTAGAATTCAACATGCATGCCCTTTACAAAAAGAGACTGGCACGCTACGTTTAACGCTACAGGATCTTACACAATAAGTCAATCTTACACGTCCAAGTCTACTGAAGTCGTGTTCAATCTTCGGAGACACTCTGTTAAGGCCTGGAGGTGTGTTTACCGAGCAGAAGTCTACTGTAATTCGCTTTCCATAACTTATCCTGTACTATAACCTTAAACCAATGTCTGGCCTGCTGCACACACTTTGACCTCAGTGGTTTGATATGTGACTCTAAAACAAGAAAACAGGCAAAAATCTTTCTTGGTATTAATACAGGGAGATGATATCTACAAGTAATGTAGATATCATAGATGAAATAAAAGCATGGTAACTTTCTTACAGGATATGTATTTTGGTGCAACGCCACAAAAGATCTACTTTTTTTTTTTTTTACATTTCCACGTGACAGCTACGTAAGCTTCATCTACAGAAAAAAAGGGGTGGAAGGCTGCTTGATGAGCAGGTGATCTCTGGGAAGTGTAGTGCAGAAACACCACAACAAAGAGCACGGAGCGGCTCCGTCTCTGCTGAGCTTCACCTGGTAGGGCAGGTCCATCATGCGCAGGTACGTCTCTATTTTGAGGCAGAAGGGCGAGAGGCTGGGCACGCCGTTCTTTGGCCTGGAGAACTGATGGAGGATGATGGCGTCTTTAGAGTCCAGCTCCTGCTCCTTCCTACACGGATGGAGAAAACATTACCAAGTCAACAGAGTTGTTTGCACTATCCCGTTTAAGTATTTGCTCCTGGAAGTCTGCGACATGCTTATTGTCTTAAAAACAAATTGAGTATGATTATTTCTTTTAACAGTGAGGATTATGCAACTTTCCAGTTAAATCAAGGTAAAAACATTGTTTCAAACACTATCATTTGTTTTTGTTTTTTAGCAAACACTAGTATATTTCAATTTAAATTCCATGGTCGGTTGGTGTCTGAAATAAAAAATGCCTCAAGGTGACAATAATATTGGGATATTGAAACATTTTGGATTCACAATAAGCACAGTTCAAAATCACTTTGCTCCAAAGCTTTCCGTCTTACGCTGTGGGAATCTTCTTGGGATGTTTTGTTGTCATAAGTCTCTCTGAGAGCGACTGGTGTTGCTACTTGTTTTTTTTGGTCAGCCAGTGCTGTGAGATGAATAGCAAACAGCAGTCAGCATCTGCACGGGGAGACTAGCACTTCAATGTCAGGCTCTGACAAACCCTCCTGGGAGGAAAGTGCCACACCTGTAGATTATTATAGCAGCAAATCCCCGTGTCCCTGATCACCCACCAACATGTATTTTTATTTTCAGGGACCGAGGAGGCTTCACTTCATTAACTTTCAAAGGAAAGCTTTGGGCAGACCTACATTCTGTTGTCCTGGTTGAACTCCAGGAATAATTAAATCCATTCTGTTGATCTGTAATGTTCAATTCAATTACAGGTTGTTTTATATAATAAACCAACATGTCAATATTGACACTTTATTTCTCATCACATGTAAATGAGCTCCCACGTTCACTTATTTACGCTTAGTTAAGGTGATATGACCGCAGGAACCAAGCTCATATTTCCTGTTTTTAGCGCAGGGGGTCTACTGAAAGTGAGGAAAGGTTTTGAAAACCAGATCTGATTTGATGTGGAAAATACTGTTGATACTGATCTTCTGTGTGACGTATTACCACTTAGCTGGTTGGCATAAAAAACGTATTTTCAAATCGAAATGATTGACTGACCGAGTCATCCCACTGTTGTAAGCAAACACACTGCTGGACATTTTCCGTCCCACCTGCCTGCCGTTTGAACACATAATCATCTCTTCTGCTGAGATTCCTCTGGCAGGGTTCACTGGACAGCTGTGGATCAGCTGTTCCCGTAGGACTTCTGCCAATATGCATGTGTTAAGATGTCGGTGTATTGCTGTATTATTATCACCAGGCCAATAACGCACTTGTTTGATTCAGATCTAATGGGACCGTGTCTTGTTTGGAATTCCAAAATGTTTTTAAATGATTTGAGATCAGATAAAAACAACAAATATGATGTGATTTATTTAATTTTATATAGCAATGTTACATAACACATCACCATTGACGCTTATAGCGTAACATTCAAGCAGCTGGCAAACGCTACAGTAAGCTTATATTGCTATGACATTATTACTTGAACGTAAAGTTAATTGGATGAGAGTACGTTTAAGGATATAAATTTACCAACACCATTAGTCAGCTACTATATCACTGCGTTAGACTTTGCTGTACAGCATAAACGGCCATTACGGAGGCTCATTTTTAGGGGGTTGACTTCCCTGATGGTAAATCTACAGTGATATTAATGGATTGGATCATGGTAATACCTCTTTGGTTAACAGAATGCAATACAACCTGCTAAAGCCACTATAATTACCACAAAGTAAACAACTGAAAAAACACTCTCTTTGGGTTGTAACATGAATAGGTAACATCTGATTTATTTCTCTGTTGGGCACTAAACCGCCCCGTATAACCCTGTTGTGTTATACTCTTCAAGCTTTGTACAAAAATGCACTACTGATGCCTTTGTTTGTGATGAACTTTTAGTCAAATATACATTGATCAGTCGTTTTAGGAATGTGTTTGTTGATCGATGTAGATGCAGCTTCTCGTGCTGTTGGATTACATCACATTTTGCCCTTCTGCCATTTGGAATATTCACTGAAGGGCTGCGTTAGTTTTAGCCAGGTGCACATCACAAATATGCACAATCTAAGGCCCATGGTGCCTGAACGGGTCGCTGTCCACTCTCGCGTGGTGCTGAAACAAGTCCGAGTCTCGGAGGTCGCTGTCCACGGTCACGTGGTGCTGAAACCATTGCAGCTCTCATCTTTTATGTTCTCTCGTGGCCACTTTAAACGCGGCTGCTTGGGCAGCTACTTTAAGAGCTCTCTCCGAACATTAAGGGAATAAAGGCGGACTGGTGCCAAGCACACACACACGTCACGTGGCAGGAACAGACGATGCCGGCGGAGCCTCAGCAGCACCCACGTGACCATTCAACGCCAGCGTGTTCTGCTCCGAATACAAGGTTACACAGATTATGTGGCGGGAGGGTGGGGGCAGATACACCCTGTAACAGTGGCCTGGTGGTGTATTTATTAGTCACTGTAGGGAAATAATCCCCCACACTCCCATTGACAGGCACGAACTCCCTGCACTAACCACAACCAAAGGTCGAAATGACAGCGCCCGAGAAGCGCTTCGTTTATTCACGCTCAGAAGCCGACGAAGCGAGCACGGGAGAGCGGGAACAAGAGCAGAAACGTGACTCGTTTATTATTTATTTGTTTTGTTTTTTCCTCTTTCCTCTCCCTCCCCATCTAGCGTCGTGTCCTTGGAAGGAGGAAAACACGGGGCGGCTGATACCTCAGCAACCACCGCGAGATGTGCCCGTGAATGGCGCCCTATGGGAGGACTCCCGTCTCCATTCACGGTGTCATCCCGCCCCGCATGGGGCCAATGACACCCGCACATGCGAGCACGGCTGCAGGCTGCAGGACTGACAGAGCCGCACAGTGACGGCGGTGATGTAGAGACGAGGCGTGCCGCGCGTCCTTACCTAATGGCGAGCAGCTCGTGCAGGAGGTAGGCTGCGGCGGCCAGCAGGGCCCCCCCGGTGATGTACAGGGTCTTCTTCCACCAGGAGTCCGAGCCCAGAGCCGACATGATGCCGCCGTAGTCCTGTAAAGGGACGGCGATGATGTAGCCATACAGAGACTGCTGCTGCTCGGAGCCACACAGCCCGAGGGGCAGGCTGTGATTCCGCCCGAGTTCAACCACACACGGCCGGGAAGAGGCGAAGCCAGCAGCCCAGTACATCCTCCCAGATCCCGGTTACAGCCACCCGGTTCCCTCCCTGCTGTGGTCCCCGCTAGGCTTCATCTAAACGCCCGGCGGGTTGTCCGCGGCATGGCGGCGGAGAGGGGCTGAAAGCTCTCCAGAACAATCAGAAGGTGTAAACATCTCGGCTCGCCCTCCCCACGATGATGCTCTGCGCCCCCTCCGCTTTCCTCTGCAGGGTTTAGAAAGTCCCGTCAAGCTAATAGGATTAACATCTCCGTTTCCGGTTATGTGTTTCAAAACAAAATATCACTGTTGGGGATGTTATTTTGATGATTTGTATTGTAGTGTTGTTGTAATGAGAATGAACAATTGAACATTCTTTTAAAGTAATCATGACTGCAACAAAACAAACTTCATTGTCATTTGAATTAAAACATATTTTCCTCATTCGTTTTGTTCAAAAAATGTCAGACGCTTCCAACTGCTGGATACAATCCACCCCGCAAAGGTATATATTTAGTATCACATTAGAAGTTCCTCACATCTGAGAAGCTGGAACCGGAACATCTTGGGCAGTGTTTGCTTTGTTCCCCTTTAACAACCAGTGTTTCAGCTCTAAATGTAATTTGATTCAAACTGATTGAGAAACTGGTTATTTATTCGAGCTGCATTATTTTCCAGAACGTTCTACATTTTATTGGTCATATTCACCAAGTGTTTTATATCAATTTAATACTCAATTTTTCTGTATCGGTGGGTATTAACACACACTGGAATATTTAAGCATTAAAGCTATTTTTCACCACAGCATTTAAATAGGTATGAATACAGTTCAACAAAGAGCTACTAAAATAAGTTACGAATATGTTTCATCAAAGAAACGAGGTAACTCTTATTTTCGCGACGAACTCCAGCAGCATCCGGTGGTAACTTGTGTCACTATGGTAACTTGATGCAGCCGGTCCCCAGCGTCTCCAGCGGAGGACTCACCTCGCCCAGTCGAGTCGACAGTTTCTTCAAACGTTAATGTAAACACGTCAAACAAATAAGGTTTAATAGAAGGTCGACTCACTCTGAGACAACCTCGGAAGTGTGAGAAGACACTCATCTTGACGGAGAACTCCACCGGTTGCACTTTGAATCTGGTTGCTGACCATCCCGAGCCGCTTCCAGAAAAGACGATTTGGTAAAGAGGTTATGTGGCCGATGAGGCCGATCAATTTCCCCGCTACTTCCGGTCAACGGGTGGCCAATCCGTCCGGGTCTGGAACAGCACAGGATGAACTAACGACGTGCGTTGTAATCCCGAAGCTCTGTGATGCACTTTAAAAAGTCCTCCCTGCAGCCATTGGCTGCTGCAAATTAGGCGCGCACTCCCGCGGATTTAGGGAGCGCGCGTTGGTGCAGGTTTGTTTGTTATTGTGGTCAGCTGAGCCTCTCTGATAACCCGTGTAACCCGGCTAAATGTCACAGTGCTCGAGGTTCTCTTACATTCGCATTCACTATCAATACATCCGTGTTTCATTATTAGTGTGGTATTCGTTTCAATAAGTTACATCCCTTGGTTTGCTGGCTCCGCCATGCAGTCGGTTTTGTTAGCTGCTGCATCACTGGGAACATCATCTCTGCGAGGACTTACAGCCTGGTGATTGGTCTCTTTGGGAACATCATGCTAGCATGACTTGTTCTCTGCCACAGGCTTGATTTGTATTATATAATACCACACGCACACACGAGCCATCACAGTCCAGAGGAGTGTCCCACCCTTGTGTGTGGACTCATCTTCCAGCATAACCAACATCAGATATTAATCACTCCTCAGGAATGCATTTTTTTTGAAAGAACCATTTTAATAAGGGATGTGGCAAATTACAATATATTCAACATTAAACAGAAAGCGGATTCAGTGCAGAAATCACAAACTCTGCATTGGTTTGGTTACGTGCATCTCTGCCGCTGAGTGAACAATTACAGGATGCACGATTTGCCTTTTCAAGCTCAAACACTAAAAACATTCCCATTTTAAACACACCTCTTTGTATCGCTTCACAGCATAGAAGGCTGATGGAAAACCAACCGTGTGACTCAAGGTTACTTAGGCTGCGGCTCGGTAACATTGCGAGTTCTTCCTCAGTCTCATTCCACGCATGGAATCTGAATGTTTTTCCACTTCTTTTCTGACTTGCTCCCGAGTCGTCTGGCTCAGCTGTGTGCTGCCTCCGCGTGGCCCTCGGCCTGGTTTGCGTCGGGGTCGTCTCGCACTTTGACGGCGTGGAGGGCGTAGTTGATGGCAGTGCTGTCGGTCCAGCTCCAGGCTCCTGACGCGGGGTTGTACAGCATCCCTCGGACGGACTGCACTGAGAAACCATCTGGGAGACGGTGACGAGAAGACAGGGAAGAGGAAGCACTCCTGAAGTAAATCAATGGTGGTGGTCACTCGGTAAAACGGGAGGGACTTACTGGACTCCAGGAGGCGCTCCAGTTCTACCGGGCTGATGAACTTCTCCCAGTCGTGCGTCCCGCTGGGAACGATGCGCAGCAGCTGCTCGGCTACGACGATACCCAGCGCGTAGGACAGGTTGGTTTTATTGATGGTCGTGATGAAGAGAGAACCACCCGGCTGCACAGGAAAAACTTTTCAGTTCACAAAGTGTTGAAGATTCACACTTCTCACTAGTAGCATTGCTTCAGAAATGATATTGCAATGATATCACGTCCCGATCGGTGCCGTGCACACAAGTGAGGCGCTAGTGCTGCCTGCGCCATACGGTATTTATAGAATGGATTAGATGGGCAGAGTCCAGTGCGAGAGACCAGAGAGTAGCCGTGCCAAACCTCAAGGTTCAACCCAGGTCAAGATTAACAATGTCAACAGGGGAGGACGGAGGAGACAGAACAGGGAGAGTGGAAGCGGGAGAGTGCAGTCAAAGGAATCCAAACTACACATTCATGCAAAAGCATCCCTCCATAGTTCCCCTGAAGCACAATATAGTTCAAAGTCGTTTGTTTGTTATTTTGACTGATGCCAGAGAATGAGAGAAAGTACAGACCAGGGTTGCAAAACATTGGGAATATTCAATGTTTTGAAACAGGATCACAACAGGAATAAAATGGAAATATAGAAGTGATTTGCTAAGGCTGTATGTACCATGTGTGGATAGACAGCATACCTAATGAATCCATCAATTTGTCAAATACATACAGACCGTGAAAAATGGGCCGTGTGGCAAACTAGCTAGCAAGGAGAGTAGTGGGGAAAGTATTTAGTAGTAGTATTTATGGTGCAAACCTGGGCCTTAACGTGAAAAACAAATTTAAAAAATAAACATTTTACAAGGCTGGATGGCAATAGATTCATTAACTCCTCAATTAACATGCTCCATCAGATAATTACATTTACATTACAGGGCATTTAGCTAGAGGGGGGGGGGGATTCCTTTAACTATTCTATATTCTAGTTAGTAATAAATAATCCGTTGATTATACATTTTTCCCACCACAGCAAGTGATCATTTGTGTACTTTGCTTTAAGCTACTGTCTGCCGGTTGGTGTGGGCTGCACATGTGATTGTGCATGCAGGATGATTCATATTAAATTGAACGCTTATCTTTTTCATTTGTATTTTACCTCCGATTTCACCATTAGAAGTTTTTACATTGGAATAGTGAAGATTCAAGAGCTTCATTTCCCTTGGGAATAGTCTGCACGGACCCTTTGCAACCAGAGTCTATTCGTGCCAAAACCAAATGCAGCGGCATTAAGTGAAGATTAGGCCGTCTTTTTCCCCTCTGCAGCCCTGTGGCCCCCTGATCTGGGAGATTACAGTCATCTGGTCTCAGTATTCATGTAGAGCTTTTGCTAAAGCTAGTCAGGGCTGCAGCCCGCACACATAAAAACACATGCTAACCTATTCCCAGTGAAACACGGCAGATGCAAAAACAGAACAAAAATCACCATCTGCACGTTGGCGTGCGCTCAGATGAACACACAGCGGAAACATCCGACATGAGCCAACAGCTGGAGGAAAAAACACACACACACACACACACACACTTTCCCAGGACACACCTTCAGCACGTGGTTGCAGCAGAGGCCGAATGTTTCCAAGTCGGCCAGATGTTCCACCACCTCGGAGGCCACGACGGCGTGGAACTGGGCCGCCCCCTGCTCCTCCCGGCCTCCGCCCTCCCTCTCCGCTGAGAGCTCCTCCAGCGTGCAGGCCCGGTAGCGGACCCGGTCGCGAAGGTCCGGGTCGATGGACGAATGCAGCTTGGCCGTACCGATGCTGTCGCCTACTGGATCAATGCCCAACACGTTGGCACCCAGGCGACCCAGGGGCTTGTGGGGGGAGAGTGGGGACAAAGAAAAGTTAAAAACCCAATCGGCTGTCGGCAACAGTTAGTTCTAGACTAGAAAAGGGTCTGTGGCTCCATCACACGGTGTAGAAAACAATACAAGATGATTAACGAGGACAGAAGGAGCACCGGATAGCGCAGTTTATGTGAACCAGAAGAATGATCTGTTTAAGTGTACTTTGTGTTGTACACATATTCTACAGCTCAGCAGCTATTCTTGTGTCAGATTACACATCAGGTGCTCTCCCTAATGTGTGCGTCCAAGCACTGCACAGCATTAGTCTCCACACCAGTGTATTCTGTGAGCAATGAGCTGGAAAACACTACACATAGTAGAAATACAACATGGATCACGACAGTCTTATTTATTGTCCCTTTGTTGTAGTCACATGAACCAGGATTAAATTCCAACAAAAAAAGGCACAGCATTTGTTACTGAATGGATTGATGCATTAAGGATTGATGTATTAAGTTGAACCTTAGATTCTTCTGGTGATCTCGTATCGTTGCATCAAAATGGAACATCTGCTCATGTGGGGTTGTGCGCTTCACAATGCCATGAGGAAAAGAAATCCCTTCATGAAGTTCCCTTTGTTATTTTATGTAGTTAATCAAATGAATAATTTTGTGTAATGTTTTAAATTTGGCTTTAAATAACAATTTCTGAGATCTAAAAGCTGTGGTAATTTAATGCATGACATTACTCGGGTGATTTGCATCACACGTGTTTAAATGTGAACCACACCGCCCTCTTCTGGACAAAAGGAAGGTCGCAGCCCCGCGTGGCGAGCTGCCTTTGCCCGGAGGCCGACCTCCATCCTCCCACAGCTCATCCCATCCGATGGGAACAGTTGTAGTGACAAGACCCTCGGAGACACAACAACCGCTGCAACCTCAGCCCCCCCCCCTTTTTAAATATGTGCGTTTGTATCTGTGTCTGAACACGACAGCCTGTGTGACAGAACCATATCAGCACAGGACCTGATTTTGTCTTCTCAAATCACACAACACAGCTGGTGTGTCCTCAGTTCAAATGAAGGCAGAGACGGACGTCCCTGTCCAGGCTGCCCAGCTATGGACACTAACAAACGGATAAACAACCGCAAATGACCGACTGTCCGCTCCACCACACCGAGACCAGTCAAATCAAAAGAGAGGGAGACTTTAGCTGACGTTTAAACGTTTGTCGGGCGCTGGTGTTTATGCGAAACGACTGCTTCTATGATGCCGAATGCTGAAAGCACAACGTTGACTGCGATCTGAAAAGAAAGGACCTGATCCATATAAACAGATTTTGCGTGACTGCAGAAGCTCTCGTCACAGGAAGCATTGTGGTTTCACCTTTTAGTGGCGTCAAAAAAGGTAGAAGCTGACGCCATCAGCAATGCAAAGGACGCACAGAAGCAGAGGCATTCGTTTCCCTGCATGCATTTCTTTCCGTCAAGCCGGCACAGTTTGACAAAACACACAGGTTTACCTCTGTGAGCAGGCCTCCTCCGCAGCCCACGTCCAGGATCCGGAGCCCGCCGAGGGGCTTCCCGGGAACACGGGTTCTGTGCACATTCAGCAGGTTGTCCCTGAACAGGAGGAGGAGCGGGTTCAGGCTCAGGCTCAGATAAACAGAACAACAGAACAAAGAATGCGACAGCAGAGATGTCGGCTAACTGCACATGAAGAGGAGGTAAACAAATCTCATGAATTACATCCACGTCTTTGTATACAGTAGGTCCGACGGGAGGTTGGAGCTCACTGCGCTCACACCATCCACTGTCACAAACATCTGCATTCCACCGTGAGCTACAGCCTAACAACCGCAAATATCCCCCGGCTACGAATTCATCCACACTGAGCGCTGCGGTCTCCCCCCACGCCCCCCGCAGACGCTGTCTGACGAGCGTCTGCCCGAGGCGTGGGACACGCAAAGAGCAGCACAAGGATGTGGGAGCGCATCATCCTCGTTAAAGCTCGGAGAGCGTTAGCTGCTATGCGGATAATCCCCCTAACTAGCTCCCGACGTGGCCACAGCGACTGAGCCACAGTCTGGAGAGGAGAGCCGTCTCCCCATGGGGGACCTGCGTGAGAGCGATTATTCTACGGATGGAATAACTACACATCAGACTGAAAGAGGCCTTTGAATTTTCCCTTTTCGTTATTATTTTCTCAGCGATATTTTATTTTAAATTGTTTCAAAACAGAATTCCAATGTGCAAAACTCAAGAGGGGAAAACGGTCAAATTCGTTTGCTAAATTCGTACCATCGAATGGGAATGGAGGCGCTTTAATACTAAGTGCAAAACGCTAAAGATGTATTACTAAGCTGAATCAACGTGTGTCTGGATGCATCTTCCTTTGACACAGAGTCACAACACTGCTAAGAAAATAGGAAGATTTGCATTTTCCCCCCTCATGAATGATGTCAGAGAGGCTCGTTCTATTGTCTCTGTTGCGAAAGAGTCATTTGTGCTTCACTGTTACTTACAGTCCAGACGAGTCCAAATATTTAAGCCTTTTTTGACTACTCGATGCGGCACATTCATTAAGTCCACTTTCCCCAAAATGAGGGATTGGCGCCATCAGAATAAGACTGTGTGGGTGCAGAAGGTGCAGCAGCAGTAGCTGTGCTCCCCCCTCGAGGGGCAGACTCCATCGGGAAAACCCGCCGCATTCAGACGTACACGGGCGCTGTCACCACAAACACACATCACCAACACCACCAGGGCCACAGAGGAGGGGGGGGGGGCACCTCGTGGCGGGATGGGTCATGTGATGATTATCTCGTGGGCCCCCCCCCTTCAGCAGATCGTATCAATCAAAACAGACGCAGCCGGCCCCCCAAAAACAGTCAAACTGCTATTTGCTGAAAACGCGCTGACGTGTGGACGAATCCTGTCGCTTCCGATTCACAGCGCTTCTCCGTCCCCCTCGTGTGTTTGCTCCATTTTCCCCTTCCTCGAACTGCGCATGGCGGATTCCGCTCGGGGGTCACGTCGTGCCACGGTTGCTCGACGCCTCTGCCAATCAATCTCGAGTTGACGGCCACTTCGGCGCGACATCTTGGCATTTCAAAAATACCACTGTTGAGATGCGTATTATGTGCAAACACACACACACACACACACACACACACACCGTATAAAAGGCACCCTCAAGTCATTCAAAGCGTGAAGAGCTGCAAACTCTCCATGGTCGTCCCACCACTTGCCGGCCAGTGACTGGAACCTCCTCAGCTCATCGGGGTCCACCGAGCGAGCACTGTGCACGGTAAAGAATACAAAATAAAAGTTATATGGAGCTTTTTTTTATTCCTTAAACATGGCGCTTAGTGCAATGGCTCATAACACGGTGAAACCATTTATTAGATGGATTTAAAAGACGTGGCCGTTATTTTATTATGCTACGTGTTGTTTTTAAATGATTGGTCCAGTCAGTTGGGAGAAGATAATATCTATTATATATATGTGGTAGGATTGCATTAATACATTTTACTCATTTGTTTATTTTCTTCTTGGATGTAAAACTTAACTTTTCATATTCAATGGACCTATTATTAGGTATTGTTCTGTTTGCTGGGGAACCAAAAAAAGCACACCTGGTTATTTTGGGATCTGCGGGATTGATTGTGACAGACATTTATAAGGGGAACATAAATTGGCAGGTTCATTGTTAATTAGGAGATTATTAGTAGTAAACTACTGAGTTACTCTTAAGTCAGCTTGAACTGACTTCAGTTCAAGGAGTTTTATTTGACCTTTCTCTCATTCGGCAGCTTAAAAACATATTCACCGCCGCACAATCCCCCCAAATGCAGACACACGACTGCGACAGACGTGGACGCGTTCGACCACCGGTGTGATGCTCGTTGTACCTGGTGTGACATGTCACGGTGGGCTGTGTCCGCTGTTTGCACACGGCCCGCTGTTTGCACACGGCCCGCTGTGTGCACACCGCCGTCCAGCTACTCGCGCTCCTCTGACGGCCGACAAAGCCTCGCACGAGACGTTCGCACCTGTTGGCGTACATGCTGTTAGCTGCTAGTTGCTAGTGTCAAGCGCCTCCGACAGCTCGACCTACGGTGCGCACGTATTTTCTGTTCGGGTGGAAACAACCTACACTTTAGTTCCTAGTGGCAGGCGAGAGAAGTTGCCCTTTACGAGTCTTTGAACACTGCAGGAAATATTGTTCGTTTACTTGTGTGATACATTCCTGAATATTCGACCATCGCAAGCATTGATGCTTAACCACCTTTCATAATATTGTTTTTAAAGTATTTATGCTGTATCAGAATCAGAAGCCGTTTATTATGTTACACATCTAGGAATGTGATCTGGTGCCACATTATGTATATAAAATGAAATAAGATCTAAAATATATAATCAGATAACATATACGTTCAAACGAATTAGATGGGCTGTGCAAATGTCATGGAGAGTCTGGTCAGTGGGGACTCGGACTTGGTTAATGACACCAGCTGATGATGGGAGGAAGGCGTTTCTGCCTCCTGCCAGAGAGGAAGGACTCAACAAGTCTGTCCGGGGCGAGAGAGGTCGGCCACAAGCTTTCTATCCCCCTCAAGGGTCCTGGAGGGACGGCAGACTACGGATAACATGTATGGTGTGTATTTGACATATTTCAGATTTGTTAAATGTTGGAATGTTTTTAGAAAATACGCCAAATCTTCTTATGGAGTACATTAATGTTTCAATGTTTCAAAGCATTTTATTTTTAACCATGTAAATTTGAACAATTCTTAAGGGATTTTGTGTTGACTATGAATCCTTGAGGTTTAAAAAAATTCGTGTTGCATTCACAAAAAGACACGAGACAAGACAATGAACAAACAATTTTATTGGACATATTACATTAATTTTGGAGGGGGAAAAAAAGTTAATTCTGTTATGGTTGAAAATGATACTTAAGTTTTCTTATCGTCCACAGGGGCTTATTAATCTTTGCATTAAGTTACAAGTGAAAATTCCTACCATTCACTACCAAAAGTCTTCTTCAGTCACACTTTAAAAATAACAATATATTTACAAAGATGAAGGATTTATGAGTGAGGGAGGGGTTCACCTACACAACTGCCTCTATAATGAGACAAGCCTGTTCAACTCATGGAATTTAAAATGGCAAAGTGCACAGATCAGGAGGTTAACTGTGCTCCTCAGCGTCTGCTACGACGGGAGGGGGACGTTGACCTGAAAGAGAGGCGTTGACCCAACGTTAATACTGCACCAAGCACGCTCACCCACTCACACTGCAAGATACAAACATGCACAAATACCCCCCGCCCTCACCTCCCGCCTCCCCCCAGACATAGTGGCAAGAAGCTTCACGTAATAACCCCAAAACACTCGAGTCTAAGGCTTCTTTCTGAGCAGCAAGACACATTTTAACAAGGTGCTACTAAACAGAGAGACCACGGTGGGGCTGTGGAAGGGATTTTGCATTTGATAAGACCTTCATTGCGTCAGACCTGAGGTACACAGTTAAGCAGAAGTGACTGCAGTTGACAGTACATTTTCAGTGATGAGTTTGCGTTTTCTAAAGTTATTGCAAATACGCATATTAAGAAGGACTCCAGGATAATCACAACGAGACAGACAATGAAGACATACAGTAGGAAAAAAAGGGAAAAAAACGAATACTACCTTGATCGCGACTTAGACTTGTGTTTGCGGCTTGCCTTCTTACCAGACTTGTGATATTTTTCCGTCGACCTTGAGCGACTACGTTTGGATTTTTTGGATTTCTTTTCCTTGCTAACCTCTGGGGTGGGGGACCTACTTGAGTCAGAGTCGGAGCGCTTCTTGCTAGCTTTAGCGGAGCCCTTCCTGCTGGCTTTGTTTTCCTGCCGAGAGTGCTTGTCAGAGTCCGTGCACGAGTCACTCTCTTTCCTTTTCTTTGATTTGCCGTTCTCCTCGGTAACTACAGAGCTTCCTTTATCTTTCTCCTTCTCTCTGGCCTTTGGCTTTTCTTTCTTCTTATCCGACTCTTTCTCCCTATCCTTCTCCCTCTTTTTCTTGTCTTTCTCGTGGCTACGACTCCTCTCCCTCCCCCTCTCTCGGTCCCTGCTGGAGGCCTTCTGCTTGTGTTTGCTGCCACGACTGCGACTGCCGTCTCGGCCGTCCCGGCTCCTCTTCCTCTCCTTTTCTTTCTCCTTTTCTCTCTCTCTGCTGCGACTGCGGCTGTCTCTGGCCCTGGCTCTGTCTCGGTCTCGCTCCCTGGATCTGGACCTACTCCTCCTGCTGCGGCGCTCCCTGGACTCGCTGCGGTCTTTCTTGTGGCGGCCTGATCTCTCAGCGCTGCTCCTCCTCCTGTCCCTAAGCTTCTCGCTGCGCTCGGAGCGGTGCCTGTGGGAGCTGTGGCTGCGGCTGCGCCTACGAGCCTTGTGGGAGGAGGAGCGGCTGCGCCTCCTCTTCCTGCGCGGGGAGGAGGATTGCGATGAGCTGCGGGAAGACGCCGAAGACGACGAGGACGAAGAGGACGAAGAACGGCGGCTGCTGTGGCTAGAAGTGGAGCGCGAGCTGCTGCTGTGGCCATTTGTAGGGGAGCCGCTCGCGCCTCGCCCCGATCGCTCCTTCCCTCGGCCCGAGTGCTTGCTCTCGCTACCTTCCTTCTCGCCGCGGGACCTACGCCTCTCTACCAAGGGCTCCGCCTCCCTCTCCTTTGCCTCCTGTTTGTGTGGATTCTCTGGCTGGCCCTCATCATAATCCCCCCTTTCCCTGCTCAATCTCTCCTTCGCCATCTCTTCTGCAGAAAGAAGACACAGAATACACATGGAGGCATCAGGGACCAGCAACACAACCCTCACGTCACGGAGGTCACCTTCAGCAATGAGATCACACGTCAACCAATGGAGGTCAAATGTCGTACCACGTGCAAGCAGAGCCTCCTGCGCTTGTTTTTCTTGCAGCTGCTGCATCTCCCGCTCCTTGCGACGGAAGGCGTCCTGCTTCTCTCGGATGCGGTGGCGCAGCTCTTCGTCGTCGGTGTCAGAGGACTCGGACCCTCGCGCGCTGTGCTCGTCGTCCTCGTCGCCGTCGCTCTCATCCGAACCGTAGTCACCAAGCCCACCTGCCACAACAGAACCCCCGGGTTGTTGAGTGTTGGTCAGAGCAAAGATTTTCTCTCACAATCAGGCTTCACCTTTGAAAACCCTTCATCCACGGCCCCAAAGCGCCAGTGAACGGCACTTACGTCACTTTATATTTCACACTGACAGCCCGTTCAAAACTAAAGCATGCTTCTATTATCAACGTGCAAGATCAAACCCGAACATATCCCCGAGATTCCACTTCTGTTTCATAAATTCATCTTAAAATAAGAGGTTTTTGGTGTAATGGCTTGTGCCAACAGCGTTTCCCATGTTTCTACCAAGGCCCCACCATTAAGAACAAATGGTCATATTTCTGCCCCCCCTCCCCTCCCAGTGACAGAAAAGGGGTACTCACTGAGACCAGTCAGAGAAGCCAGTGCACTTGACTGTGCCAGCTGTTTTGCAGGAGCTTTGATTCACATCAACAACAGGAACAACATGTTAAAACACATATTGCCATTCTCTCAAAGGCAAGAGTCGCTAGAGAAGGGCGTCACAGAAAAAGCGCTTATTCACAAGAGCTGCCGTTGGTAACAAGAGAAAAGAAAAAACAAAAAAAAATTGGGAGAAAAGAGAGAGGGTTAAAACACACAATCCAAGTCAAACAGTCGCACAGGAGGGACAGAACCAATCTGTACTAATGCAGTCACTTCGACGGAGGACGTCCATCATGTCAAAAAGATAGCTGCTGGTCAGATTCAAGGCTCAATACCGTGTACCAGAACACCGGGTTTTCAAATAGGATTTGTGTAAAGCATTGCTCTGCTCCCTCTCCTTCTGATGCATTAGCAGAGAATGGTTGAATGTGCTTATCAGACATACTTCCATGTCGGTTGCTCAACCAGCCCAGTTTACGGGGCATGATTGAGTTTTCATTCAAATAGATTATTATGCACATAGTGTATTCTCTTCACATTTAAATACGTCGTGGTGGAAAAGTCAAGAGCAGACCTCGAGTGGCTTTGCGGTGAGTCTCTTTGGCCACATGCTGGATCTCTTCATTGGTGACCTCAAGCAGGATCTCTGTGAGAAGTGTTTTTGTGATGATCATCTATTGACGAGGGAAAACAACAATCAGATTTATCCTCTTTAAGAATAGTCAGATCTAGGGCTGCAACAACGAATCGATAAAATTGATTAGAATCGATTATTAAAAGCGTTGCCAACGAATTTCATTATCGATTCGCTGTGTCGCGCGATTATTACGTCACTCAATGAGTTGCGGAGATGCGCGCGGAGCAAAAATAAAAATAAAGGCGGCGAGCCGACGTAGAGGAAAGAGCAGCCGGCAGTTGTTGGGAGTCACATGACGCAGGGAGAGACGTCTGTTCGACTAGTCGTCTAAGGTGTGCGAGCGTGGGGGTCCTGGTGCACGTTGTCCCGTTTTGACGCGAGGGACGTAACAAGCCTCCTGTTTACTCGTCATCCAGCTGATCAAGCTAGCGTTAGCTCGTTAATAAGAGCAGTAAAGCAGTTAGCAGGACTAAGACACGTTTTTATTTACTCGCCTCTTTTGGACCATTCATTTTTCAATGTGTTGTATATATTTTGTGCTTTGTCCCATATCGGTTATTGTTGACAAATATATTTGTGTGTGTTGTACTTTTTAATGCTGTCATATATGGTAGTCCAGTGCGCTTGCGCATATACTGTGGGTTATACGGTAGTTGATGTTATGCCTGTAAAGGGAGACACATGGTGATCCATTAAATCAACGAAGAAGCCTCTAATGCATTTATTTACAAATGCCATTTTAAATTCATCTCATAGCACTTGGTTGTTTTTTTTAGCTGTATGCATTTACTTAACTTGCACTACAATGATGGTAATAATTTAATGAATATACTTCAAGTGAACATGAGGGTGTGTTTGTGAGTGTAGTATAGAGAACTAGTTCTGACGAATTTGAGGTTCCGTTTTAGAATAAAGGGTTGGAAATTAAAGCTTTTTAATGCTTTTTATGCGATTCATCGATTAATCGATTATCAAAATAATCGTTAGTTGCAGCCTTAGTTTCAGATCTACTACACCCGTATGGCTGCAGAAAAGATCGTCTGAATGTTCAAACTGACCAGCTGGAACTCCTTTTCCTCCTCCGTCATTTCAGGCTCGCTGTCCTCTGCAGGAGGCGATGGGCTCCGACCAGAAAAGACTTTCTTGACAGAGACCTTGTCTTCATCGTCATTGTCATCATTCCCCTCGTCGTCACTGTCCTGTTGCATACAGAAGTAGTAACTCATTATCTAATTGACCAGCATGTGCCAGAGGAAAACATTTTATCCATCCCGAATGTCCTCACGCCATCAATGCAACAAAGGAAGCGGAAGCATTGTTCTTTTAGTAAACCATTTTACAATCCAGGCCAAAAAAAAAAAAAGGTGCTACTTGCAAATTTGCTCTTGCGCGGCACCCGCGGCCCGTCGCCTTCCTCTTCTGCCTCTTGCTTTTTGCCATCGTCTTTTGCCATTTTTGAACGCTCTTTTTCCATTCGCTCCCGCTCCAGCTTCTTCTGCTTCTCTCTGTCCATCTTTTCGAGGCCCTCTCGGATCCACGCGGGTAGCGTGCGCCTTTTTACCGCATCCAGGGTGGAAATTGGGGCTGTCGAAATAGACGTGTTAATGTTTGCGATTAATGT